CTCAGGACACCAGCTCCACCCTGGCCTGGTGAGGTGGGAACCGAGAGCAGCAGCAATCTAAAGTTTCCCATCTCGCAGCCCTCAAAGCAGTGCTGCTCGGGCTGCTGCCTGCCAGTCCCTCTGGTGCCCACCCTTGTGGTTTTTCTCCCCCTTGGCACTCAATCTGGGCTGCAGGGAGAGCACAGGTCCCCTGCGAAGGTGGCCCCCTGCCGTGGAGAAGGGGCCGTGCCAGGCACTGCCTTCAGGGGCTCCCGACCACAGCGAGGACCCGCCCAAGCAGGGAGAATCTAGTCTGCAGAAGAAATGAATTTGCAGCTGGCTGGGAGCAATTCTTATCAAATTTCCAAATTAGCAGTTTTCACCAAGAGCTAATTGTACAATCTCTGCAAGTAGCCTGATTCTATTAGCACAAAGCTCCCGGACAAGTGCCCCCGTGGCCAAGGGCAAGGAGGCTGCTCCTGTCTCACACTTGGTTTCAGTCTCTGAAAAATCCATGTATTTTTCAAGTCTGGGCAGCAGCGTGACCACTCAGCCCTGGCCCGGGTGGGCCCTGCTACTCCCACGGCCACTTTGAGTGTCCTGGGGACAGAAGGGGCAGGGTGCATCTCATCTGGCTCTGGGGAGATGGGTCTGCACACCAGGCATCTCTGGGGGCTCTGCTGCTCCTGCCCCACAGCACCCTCTGTCCATCCCGAGCAGCAGAGGGGCAGAGCTAACAGCACCTGGCGTGGCCTGAGGAGGCCATCGCTGTGCTGAGGCCATCGTGAGGTGGCCTCTTCCTTTGCTGGCCTGATGCTCTCGGGACAGTGCTGGGCAGGGCTGGTGGGTGTGGGGTCTGCCCTCCTTTCCTGACCCCGCAGCTCCTCTCTGTGCCCTAAGCAGGCCCTGCTCTGCCCCCAGCCTCTACTCCCATCCAGCCACCCCCTGTTCCTTCCTTTCCAGGCTTGCCCCTGCTTTCCAGTTGGGCTTGCTTTGGTTTTCCCACCACACCTTCAGCACTGCATCCCTCTGCTGTAAAACATTTCCGGCCTCCTCGTCATCGCTCCAGCCGGAGCTCCTGGAGGGTGGGGCCAGGGCGTCCTGGTGGCCACAGTGTCATGGAAGCACCTGCTGCTCGGGGACCCTTGGACTCGAAGCTGGCCACTTCTGGCATTCCTTTTAGCACCCCTACCCAGAGTGTGGCTGAACGGAAAAGGCACAGTGGCAGGGACCAGCCATCAGGCTCCTGAACCGGACCCTACTGTGCCTGTCCCAGGCGTCCCTCACTCTGTGCTAGGACTGAGCACCCAGCACCGGGGAAGGGAATGAGACAGCCATGGCCAAGAGGCCACTGCAGTCTTAGATGCCAGGTGCCGTGTGGGTGGAGAGGAGGTTCCCAGGGACACACAGGACGGGTCCCCTCATCGCCTTCCCACAGCGACTGACATCCAAGGAAGAGAGATGGGAGAGGAGCAACCAGGGCTTCCAGGCCACAGGAATAGCAGTGCGGAAGGACAGAAGCAAAAAGGGCCACAGGAATCCTGTGTGGCTGGGGTGAGGACAGGGTGTGGAGAGGGGGAGCAACGTGGGTTCCAAAAAGCGGAGCCATCCCCAAAATAGGGAGCCACTGAGGGGCTCTCGCAGCAGGCTGGGAAGAGTGGTGGCATTGCCGGGAGGGCTGGAGGGGCTCTGGACGCGTAGTCCAGGTCCCAGCTAGGACATCTGGGCTGGCGGGGGGGGTGCCTTGGGCTGGGCACTCGGCACTGTGGCCCCGCTTGTCGGGGTGGCTGCCTTGTCAGAGGGGGCAGGATCCCCCAGCCACTCTCAGAACCCAAACACCCTCCTCTAAGATGCACCGCAGACAGGGTCAGTCCTTGGATGGCTGCCTTTATAAAGTCACGTTACAGACACGCTGCCTTCTTAAAGGTGGATAGATGGGCTCTAGTAAAACATTAAACCAAACCCCAGCATTTCACAGATATTTGTATTTATACTTTCTTGTATGTGGCACTGAGGATTGAATCCAGGGTCTCCCTCCACCACTGAGCTACATCCCCAACCCTTTTTAGATTGTTCCAAGTTGGCTTACCAGGCTGGCCTCAAACTTGAGATCCTCCTGCCTCAGCCTCCCAAACAGCTGACATTACAGCTGTGCACTACCATGCCTAGTTATACTGTTCTCTTTAAGTAACATTAATGAATGTTGGGAGATACCATTGTGGATAGAGATCACCCTTGCTGTGTATATTCGTGTGGAGGCTGCTCGTGGCCTTTGCCCACTGAGCCATTAGGGAGCCGGGCAGGCTCAGAGCACACACAGGGTGTGCTGCCTGTGAGGGCTGAGGGGCGTGTGCCCTGGTGTCCTAGCTGCAGCACAGCCATCTGTCACACCCAGGCAGGCCCGCCCCACACCTCCAGAGTGGCAGGGCCCCTGTGGTGCAGGCTCCAGATGTGCTGCAGGCTCCAGACGCCAGATTGGTACTGGGCCCGTCTCCGAGGACTTGGCAGGCGGTTCTGGAAGGGGATCCTGGCAGACGGAGGCCTTGCTGAGCCCGTTCAGAGCAGTTGTCAGGCTGCCGCGGAATGCCAGTTCCCCCTTCCGCAGGGCCTGGTGACCTCATGCCTGTGCGATGTTGTCGCCCTGTGGAGGTGGCTTCTGACCGAGGGCACATGTTCAGGCCAAGGCAGCATGCAAGGCTGTGCCCCTTTGGCAGCCCCATGCTCCCACCAGACATCCTTCGGGTTCCCACAACAGCGTGAGGCCTTTCAGCCAGCCTTGCTCCCAGGAAAGGGAGCCCTCAGGAACCCCCAGCAGCCCTGTGCCTCTTCAGAGCCTGTTTGCTCCCCTTGGCCCAAGAGCTCTGGACCTTGGACTGCAGGGCTGTAGTTTGTAAACTGTAAGGCTCTCTCCTGCCCAGAAGTCCTAGATTCTAAGAGCTCTCCTGCCCTGTCCCAGGTCCTAGGAGGAAGCTGCTGGGCGCCCCCTGCTGGCCATCATGGGCATGGACCTGGGATGCCAGGCCCCATTCCCCAGGACATCCTGAGTTCTCGGAGCTCTGGCTGCTGGCAGCGTTGCTGGGCCTTGGCTGGCTCTGCTGGGGTCCCCTGTCAGCCCTCTCGCCTGACCCCCAAAGGCCTGTGGGGCCCTGCACTTGTGCCTGCACACCTCCATACCACCTGGGTGAGAGAGAGAGGGTGTTAAGGACAGGAAACCATGGGAAGTGAGGTCCCGCAGCTGCCCTCAAACTCGAGTCTCGTCAGCACCCAGGGCATCGAGCTTTGCTGCTGTGCCACCTCCCTGGAGGGTGACAGTGGCGTCTGTTTGGGGTCAACACTAGATGCCACCGAACCGCCGGGAGAGAGGCTCTCGCTCCCACCCCGCAGAGGGAGGGGCAGCTGGGACCACGGTGGACAGGAAGGCGAGACGCCAGGGCCCTGCCCAAGGTCTGCCCCTCCTCCAGAGCGTCCCCGGCTGTCGTCAAGGTTAGCAGTGCGCTCTTGGCCCGCGGGAGTCAAGTGACTTGTGTGACAGTGCCCGGTCAGGGAGGACAGGTAATGGAGTCACTGCAGAAGCAGCTCCCTGAGGTCTCGCCAGCGCCTGGGGCCCCGCCTGCACCTTTTCCCTTCCTTCCTGTTCCTACTTGAGACCGGGAGAGGGCAGGCAAGAGAATCCCTCCGGAAGCTGGAGAGGAGATGGCACTGCTGGAGGGGCTCTCTGATTTGACCTGTGTGGAGCACGGGGCCCCAGCTGGTCCAGGGCCCTGCTGCCTCCTGCTGTGGGGTAATGCTGCCACCTGCCGGCCGTGCCTGCAAACTGCAGTCTGAGGTTCCAGGTGCGCTTCTCCACCCAAGGAAGAGAAGGCATTCTGGGACTGTATGGGGAGCAATGCCTAGAATGTGCTGGAGCCCCACAAAGATGTCTGCTGAGTGGGCTAGTGCACACTGGATGAACACAAGCACCTGAGTGTTGGGCCGTGGATGGTGCTGGATGCTTCCCAGCGGGAACTGGGGCCCCTCTTGGGTTGACGGTCTAGGTATGAAGGCCAGAAAGAAAAGGCCAGTGATGCTAGATTGGGACACGGGTCCCTGGGGCAGAAGGTGCCTGTCCCTCAGGGAAAACTGGAGCCTGGCCTTCAGGGAAGACTTGGCAGGACGGCCAGTGGCCAGAAGGAGAATCGCAGGATGTGCTGGCAGCACGGGGAGCGGGAGTTTTCTGTTGTGTCTCTGGGGCAGCTGATGCACCCAGTGCAGGTCCATGAGCTGGGTATGGTGGTGGCCTGTCTTCTGTTTGAGGAGGGAGAGGCTGTGATTCATTCGGGCTCCCACAGCAAGTGCGGAGCAGAGCCAGGACTCACTGCATCTCAGCGAACATGGTGGCTGGTGAAGGCGCCCGTATCCAAGGGTTCTGGAAGGAAGTGAGGGGCACAAGGTCGAATTCGAGGTCAGAGGTCAGTGGCCACTCTAAAAGCTGTGGCTGACGTCCGTGGGCAAGGTAGAAGCTCCTCACTCTACATAGCAGACGAGGGCCAGCCAAGGTGTGACCCTCATGGCCACGTGGCCACACTGCGACCCTGACCCTCAGAGAGGGGCTGCAGCCCCAGCCCTTCCTGGGGGACAGCAGCCAGAGCAGGTGGGCCCGGCCAGCAGAGGGGGGCACTGTGTGCCTGGACGCTTACCCCACCCCTGTGGCTACTCTTTTCCCAGAAGCTTAGCCAGATGACAGGGCTGATCCCACTGGTTCATCCTAGGAAAGATCCCTGCAGGACTGAGCTCTGGGGCCACAGCAGGTGTGAGAACCTGCCTGACACAGGAGACAGTGCACACTAACCAGAAGAGAAAAGTGTTTTGGTCTGCGGAGGGTGTGAGCAGAGGGGTGGCAGAGAAAGAACAGGGAAGAACAGATTAGCTCACTGGCTGGGAGGTGATTTAAGATGTGAAGGGTGTGGAAGCGCCAACCCCTCAGGGAACTTGGAAAGAGGCTGCATGGCTGGCCAGCCCCTCACACCAGTCTCTCCCTGCAGACTGGTGGAGGAGTTCATGCTGTTGGCCAACATGGCAGTGGCCCACAGGATCCACCACGCCTTCCCTGAGCAGGCCCTGCTGCGCCGGCACCCCCCGCCACAGACCAAGATGCTGGGCGACCTGGTAGAGTTCTGCACCCAGATGGGGTTGGCCGTGGACGTCAGCTCGGCCGGCGCCCTCAACGTGAGTGTGGGCGGGCAGTGCTGGGGCAGCCCTGAGGACAGAGGGAAGGGGCCTCCCGTGAGGGTGCCTTCACCAATGGCTAGGTCTCCCCACAGCAGGGAGGGAGGCCCTGGGGGTCAGGCCTGAGTCAAGGGGCCCCGGTGGGGGGTGGGCTCCCTCACCAAGGCAGCCTGGGTAGGGTGCTGAGCCAGAACCAGGCTGGTCTTGGGCCCAGAGGCCTTCAGCGTAGGGGCTGGGATGGTTGAGCCAGGAACATTTCTGGTACGACGTGTTTGGGGATGCTGAACTGCGTGGGGCCGAGGACCCCAGGATGCTGGCTCTACTCCACAGGAAGGGACTTCTCATGCATGCTCTGCAGAGGCCCGGGGCCGAGGTCAGAGCCGGACATCCTGCTCAGGAAGCAACCAATTACAGGCCCAGCCCAAATTGCAGCCTGAGACTCAGCCTGAGCTCCCCTGCACCCCGATTACACCCAGAGTCTGGTTAGCATCTCATCCATGCCTCTGGGGTTTGCTTCTAGAAAAGTCTAACCAGAATATTTGGAGATGACAAGTATGCGCTGGCCCGGAAGGAGGTGCTCACCAACATGTTCTCCCGGCCCATGCAGGTAAAGGGAGGTCTTGCCTCCATCCCTGCTGTGCAAGGGGCCTGGTGGGGTAGAACGGGGCTGAGGGCCATTTCTGGGGGAGGAGGATGCCCCAGGTGGCCCTAGAGACAGGTGGGTCCAGGCTCTGGAGAGCCTGCCCTGTGTGCCTCAAACTCAGGCCAGGTCTGACCAGGGACCCCAGGCGGGAGAGCAGGTCCCGAGCTACCCCAGCCACAGTTCAACCCGGAGAGGTGGTGCCTGTGGGGCGTCCTGAGAACCAGGCCCTCGCAGAGGACTGTGCAGGCAGTGGGAGCTGTAGGCGCTGAGCCAGAGCCGCGGGAGCCGGGAGAGAAGCGGGGCCTTGCGTACAGAACAAGGGGGGACAGCGTGTGGGGCGGGGGTGAGGAGCCCGACCGCCCGGGAGCCTGCTCCCCTGCTCCTGCAGAGGCTCTGGCCCTTTCCAAGGCCTGCACCAGGCTTCAGGGTGAGCGGAGGGCTGGGCCCCCGGAGAGGCTCAGGACCTCCCTGCTACCTGACACACACCTACGAGGCGCTCGGACTTCTGTGTCTGGGCCCCGGAGAGGGTCGCGGGTTGGGAAAAAGCAGGTCAGCCTGGCGCCTCCCTCCCGGGGATGGGGACCGCTCAGCCGCATGAGAGCCCCGCGGGCCTCGCGCTGGGTGGTGGCCTCCGCTTTGTGTCCCCCAAGAACCCGCAGCTTCCTTAGCTTCCGCTGGGGCCTCCAAAGCCAAGTCCACAGCCCTCCAGCGTGGCCACCGCTTCTCTCCCCTCAGCCCCGAGCCACCGCAGCAGGCAGCCCCATCCCAGACCAGAAAGCACCCGCCTGTCCTTTCTGCCGGGGACTTGGAGGCCAC